TCTCAATGGCAGTGACACGGAGTATAGCGAGTGCGACATCGTTTTGGACACGGATGAAGGTGGCAACCAGTTGGTTGAGCAAGAAGAGGTCTCCGATGCTGGAGTCGTCCCCCGCCAACGAGGGTGTAGGTGGATTCCGAGAGTAAGACCGAATCTTGGCAAGGCCTTGCACACGTGCAAGCCGATCTGTAGATTTCAATCCATCCTCCGTGCAGAGGAGATATTGTACAGCCGATGCTTTGTGGCAATGCTTCGATTTCCCACTATTGTCCTTCAACGTTAGCCATGCACGATCCTGCTTTCGAACACTGTCAAGATCATTCTGGCCGGGTGCGGGGAGCAGCTCCTCGAGTTCTTCCAGCCCGTTCTGGTCGCAGGTAGGTGGGTCCACTGAGTTCGGGGCTAAATCGACTGGCTCTGTGTCATCATCCAGCCACCCCATTGTAAAATCAATGTCACCTTCTCGAAGGCCGACATAGTTCCCTAGAGGGCGAAGAAGGTCCACATCGTCCGAATTGAGCAGTGGTGCAAAGTCGAATGAGATTTTCAGTAGTTTCAAAAGCTCAATCACATCCCGACGGCCCACATTTGACGATGTCAGGAGGCTGACATTCGCAACGGACACGTCCGCTTTCCATGACGCAGGATTTATGTGATCTACACCTTCGGTCCCTTCTAGTCGGAGCTGCCTATGGCCGCGATCCCAATCTGGGTGCTTCGCAAATATATGGCATGATTCTGCAGTGGTAGAAGCACGTTCTGATAACTGGAGAATGTTGACGTTTCGTGAATTGTCCTTGAGACGATAAATGCCATATAAATCCTCCAGGCGGTCCTCGCCATTAAGCCCGATGTGATGGATGCCTGAAGGATCAAGGATCTTCTGTTTTGCAACCGACCAAAAAACATTTTTGATCATGCTTTGAATGTCATAGTACAGCTGTCCGGGGCAGAATGAAGTCCAGTTCTTGCTGAAGAGGACGAAGAAGAGATGTGCCGCAGAAGAAAGAGATTGTAATTGCTGAGAGAGGGTCATATCCGGAGTTATGAACGGCCGGACAAGATAACCAGAAAGCCGACCTAAGAGTGCAATGGGCACATCTCCTGGGTCGCACTTTTGGAAATTAATCCTGTGAGACACTTCGTATAGTCCCATATGCAAGGAGACAGCATTTGGAACGTTCATGTGGTCCTTGTTATTAAACAATGCATCGAGGTGAGTCGAGTCCATTTCGGGCAAGGTTTGAAGCTTTTCGCGAAGGTGGATGGCAGACACATGGAAGTCGGCTATAAGAAACCCTTTAACAGAGCGGAGAAGCGAGGCGAAATCTGTCAAAATTGAATTAGTTTAATTCCTGACCCGAAGCATTGAGAAGATATATACTTTTGAATTTATGCTTGTAATCGAAATCAGAGGTCAGTTCTTGCTTCCGCAATGTAAATTCATGAGAGGAATCGGTGCAAGGAGTGGATAGAGAGGACTGGTTGGAGACAATTCTTCTGACATGCATATTGTGTGTAGTGCACATCGTTGAACGGCATCACCGTCTGATGCAATTGACCACAATGGGCCATAGAACGCTGCGCCATTTGGCGACTCTTGCCACGTCTTGACAATATCTAGAATCCACTTGGATTGCAAGCGATCCATCTCGTGTTTGCAAGTGCCAGAGATGAGCAGAGGAACCGGGGTGTAAAATTCTGGGTGAAATGGTGCAATGGCCGCTACTGTGGCCTCGGTGGCACGGGTGAGTGTTCCTTCGCAGATGGCATCGACCATTGCACCCAGTGTCTCCTCCGTTGGATTGTACATTTCACAGGAGGCTGCATCGAACCTAGAGAACCCGACAACAGCATCACGGTCTGCATCATATCTGGGACGCTGCTCCAAGGCTATTTCGTAGATTAAAAGGGAGAATCCACGGTGAGCGAGGGCTTTTCCCGACTTCCACATGACTTGTGTGTCATGAATCGAATCGAGATTTTCCTAGATTTCATTGCGCGTTGGGAAGCCAACACAAGGACGAATTGTCAGGAAGTTGTGTTTAGACTGAACAGTGCGCACAGAAGGCAGATTCGGGGCCTTGGAAACTGCATAGCAGAGCTTTGGGCCGCCGAAGGACAACACAAGCCATTGGAGATCCATGTTATTCTCCTGACAAGCGAGATGAGACACCGGTGATAATGTATAACGAATCATAAAATTACCGTGAAGCTTTTGACGTGATATATACCCTGGAGCAAGCGGGAAATCTGGGTGGTTATCTCGGAAATTGAACACTTCTGCTTCAAGGACATGGTTACAACTCGTCCAATTGCACTCATGTCGTCCATTGTGATGGTAGACAGAAAGACCTCATGGTCAGATAGACAAGAGGTAGCAACATAATATTTATCGCGCAGCTTGAGGCCCTACACAGGAGACGAACATGAGCATTTAAACGAGAGTTTCAGTGTAAATACGAACCTTGAGTTTGTGGATATTCATTTCTTCATTCTTCTCTCGTACAAGGCTTGCCAACTGGAAATGATTGTAGTATTTGAGATTCGTAGTCGCTGGGAGGTCCCCTGACGTCTGCAGGATGATACGCTGAACCTCTGGAAGGGAATTGAGAAACTTGCATTCGCCGCACGGTCCTTTGGCAAGCCCCGCTTTCTGGCATTTCTTCACTCGAACCCACAGGTCCCCGTTCGGGCTCACCCATTGTATATTGTGAGGCAGATTATCAGTGGCATGCAGCTGCCATGCGTAGCATCGGAATGCGCTCTCTGGGAGGCTGAGGCGAACTCCAGGGCATAAACCTCTCTCTGAATAGAATTGCAACAGGATGTCAGGAATATTACCAAGGGGGGGATTTCCCCCTCAGGGAGATCTGGAGGGCGATGTGATGCGGACTGCGGTGCTTTAAACTGCCAGATGGTGGGGAGATCTGGGCTATGTTTAATGCTCGTCCTCTAGGGGGAATTTGTTCTGTCGCGGTAGACAAGTACATAGGGAGGTTTAAATAATATTGGTGGGGATATCCGTACAAGGATTCGAACAGTTAGTTCAAAATCCTACTAGCTAGGGTGGTCCGAGCGAACTCCGATGCCTAGTTAGCCTTCTCGGGTTAACGGAGATTGAATCTGTTCCACACTTCCTTGGGGAGGAGCTTCGGAAGGCGATGCGGGATCCAATTCGTCAAGTCCGAGGTGAAATATGGATTTGGGGGCTTCCTGGACCACGAACCACAGTCGTCCGAAGTATCTTTGAGTCGTAGATCATAAGACCGGGGGATTTATGTGTTCGCGATAACATTCTGGCAATTCCTCCTCCCTTTACCCCTCTTTGTGCCTCTACGGAGTTTCCTCTCTCTACTTCTCACCCATTCGCTTGCTGAAGGCGACTTCCTGCGGGCTCTGCACCACCAACTTCCTTAGCTAGCAGCTACACATGAACTCCGAAGACCTCGTTGTGCTGTTTGAGAGATTTCACTGCCCTACTTGCGTAGGGGAGGAATAAACGGTTCGATTTCTCCGGCGCTGAACTTTTTATGCCGAAATATAAACTCCGTTTGCTGTCTGACGGCGGCGGGGGAGTACCAGGGTCGCTTTACTGTGTAACTCGACTCCGGGTGACCTCTAGGTGATGTTCGGGGCGGATATTTAGCTACTCCTAAGCTGGCTAAGGCTTAGAAGGTGAGGATGTGGGCCGAAACTGAGATGGTATTTTGGTAGACTAGCTGTAGTATTTATACCCCAGCCCAAGGCTGTGCCGGAGTTGTTCCTTTGTGTCCCATACCTGCTCGCTCGCACGCTCCTCCGCCCCGGAGTTCGCTTATGACTCATTCTAGAACTCCGTGAACCCTTACCTGCACCATCTTCAGTCCGGCACCGATTCTGCAACCCGGACTTGTTGGCCCTAGTCTCGGACACTCCATGTCCGGTCCTAGCTCTCCTCCTATCCAGCTTCCGCCTGCGACGGCTCGATAGTGTAGTGGAAATGCACTCCGTATCCTTTCACCCCAGTGTTTGACTTACGGAAAGTCCGGAGTTCGATCCTCCGTCGAGCCCTTTTCCCGTGTTACCCACCTTTTTTGATTACCCATTCCATCCTTTCGGGCCGTTTGGTATTCGCGACTCGATGGCGTAACTGTAACGCATCCTGCCATGGTTCTTGCACAAGCGCATCTTTTGCAGGAAGTCCGGAGTTCAATCCTCCGTCGAGCCATCCCTCTTTTCCATTCCTTTTTCGTGCGCCTCTTACCGGACCTTCGCATCGCTCGCACACATGGTCCGGTGGCGTAGTGGTAACGTACTCTGTTCGCGTAGCTGGCGGGAAACTGAAATCATGGAGGGACCGGAGTTCGAATCTCCGACGGGCCTTTATGTTCTTTTTGTCCGTCGAGTAAGAAGATAGGGCGCGTTTTTGAACAGTTCAGTGGTGTAATGGTAACGCACTCCGCATTCCTATGTAGTTCGCGGTATGCTTCACGGAAAGTTCGGAGTTTGATTCTCCGCTGAGCCATTATGAAGAAAACCCTTCTTTTTCATGGCGATAGTTTTGGCTGGTCTTTCGACTCCTACAGCTCGGTGGCGTAATGGTATTGCACTCCATGATGATCTAATGGATTTTTATATCGATTGACGGAAAGTCCGGAGTTCGATTCTCCGTCGAGCCATTCCGACGGAAACCCTTCTTTTTACAGTGATCGTCTTGGCTGGTCGTTCGACTCCTACGGCTTGATGGCGTAATGGTAACGCACTCTGTAAATATGCACATTTTTATATCGATTGGCGGAAAGTCCGGAGTTCAATTCTCCGTCAAGCCGTTTGACGGAAACCGTTCTTTTTGCAGCAATCGTCTCGGCCATTCATACGGCTTGTTGGCGTTGTGGTAACACGCTCCGTAGCGATATGTAACGTTCACAGAAGGTCCAAAGTTCAATTCTTCATCAAGCCCTTTGACGATAACCATTCCTTTTCCCAGTCTTATTGGCATTTTTGGGTAGTCCGGTCATGGCTTGGTGGCGTAATGGTAACGCGCCCCATGTACCTAACGTTTTCATATCGGTTGATGGAAGGTTCGGAGTTCGATTCTCCGGCAAGCCATGTTGGGTCGGGATATGATTTTTAACTCGTGGTCCGTGTTACTGATTTTATATATCGGTTGACGGAAAGTCCGGGAAGCCATGGATTGGGTCCGGATAACATTTTTAACTCGGAGTCAGTCCTTGGTGGTCTTGAGTTTGATTCTCGAATGGCTTGTTGGCGTAATGGTAACGCATTCCGTGTACCTATAGCATTCATATATCGGTTGATGGAAGGTTCGGAGTTCGATTCTCCGTCAAGCCACTAGTTGGGTCCGGATATCATTTTTACGTTGATGGCTTAAGGCGTTGTTCTCGGAGTTCGGTGTTTTGAGGTTACGTCGGGAGCTATCACAATGTGATGGCTCACAGCGAGTCGGAGGAAGAGACGGAGAGTCATCAATAAGGATTACGTCCTCATCAATGTCGATGATTGTTGCCAACGCTGATGATGGTGGAGGAGGAAGTGGAAGGGATTCTGCAATTGCATGGGAAGTAGATGGAAGGGGAAGAGTTGGTGGCACCCGTGGTCCGAAACTGAGCACTGTCTGTGTAGATTTTGTTTTATCCTTGGTCTTTGTGCCCTTCGCACACCGGCTGCCATTCTGATGACCACGCATAGCATGGAGGGAAGTTCCCTCGCCTAGGGGGATTATTTGCGAGCAAATATCACACCGTTTCACTCGCTCCCACTGATGTGGGCCCTCGCGTGTTTTGGGGCGCCAAAATACACCATCAGGGGACGACTTCTCGTCAGTTGGGCCAGGTGCATTTCCAGGTGCAATACTCGGGATAGATGAGATGCGAGTTCCTGCTGGCTCGGTGACAGCAGCGGTACAGAAACCAGAGTCTAGAGCAGGTGTCATGGAGGGATCTGGTGTATTGCCAGCCATTTAGAGATGGTTAAAATTTGTATGAGACTTGTCGGGAGAGTGGAAATGAAGGCCAGAAAATGAGCAGAACGTGTCGTGCAACTTAGCGGCCAGAAAATACTTAGTGGCACGACTGACTCGGACCGAGAAGTCCCTGGTTTCCGCTTTGAATTCCATTTGCACAGTAATCCCGAGAAAAGTAAGTGGTTTTGCATTGTTCAGTGTGGTGGCCCCGACTCGGTGGAGCGTGTGTGGTCGAAGTGTCTGGCGCTTAGTGAGAGAAGCGCCTGTGAAACACCGCCACAGGTCACGTGGAACAAAATTTTTAACATGTGAATAAAATTTCAGGATGGTATGAATTCAGGGACCCACCCAGGGGGGGGCATCGTCCTTCGGGATTTTAATCCTCGCCGCCCCTTGGCGCAACGACGCATTAAGCTGTTCTTGAGTGAAAACTGGACAAAAATTATGCGGATTTGCACTGGCGTAGCCACTATCCCCCTCTTTAGGGTAGACGTCCCATCGTCTAGTGAGAGCATTGGGCTTGCCACCAAGCCGTCCTGGCCGGAACTGAAGGACGAAGTTGAAAGCGGAAAGAAGCTCGGACCACCGGGCTTGCCAGTGGGTCAAGAGCTTTGTTGTAGCAAAATATTCAAGATTCTTGTGATCCGTAACCACGTCAATAGCGGGAACCACGCCTTCAAGGTAGCGACGCCAAACGCGGAATGCTCCGAAAATAGCAAGCAATTCCTTATCGTTGTGCCGCTGAAATAATGTTTGGCATTAAAAATAGATGACTGTAATAATTGAAGCAACTCACGGAAGGGAGGAAAAGTGGAGTCACTGCAGAAGATGGAGTCGAACTGACTCGGAACGAGTTGGTATCAACATGGAGTCAGTATGTAGTCAGATTTAGTCATAAATAATCATATGTAGTCAAATCTCGGGATGCAGAAATGACTCACCTCCGACCCGAGGGGGTATATAAGGAGGGCGAGCGAGCAGTTCCAATTTCAAGAGACCCCCCCATCTGTTCCCCTCTACGTAGTCTAAAAATAAATTTTGTTCGCTTACTAATCCGGCTCTTGCAGCTTCTGAGTCACCTGAGAGGCATTTACCGAGTCCTCCGTCCGATCAGTACAGCACCAACAGTGCCAGCGCAATTACCGGCGCTAACTCTTCAGCTCACTCTAAATTAGGGTTGAGTCATCCCAAATTGTCCGACCGAATCCAGAACTACTACCGCTCCAATCCCAGAAAGGAAATTCTATTCAGAGTAATTTAAGTCTCTCTATAGCTTAAGAAAAAGTTGGTTTTTCGTAAAGCTTTTGTGAAACTTATTTTCCACTTGTCATCGTGTGTGTCATAGTTCAGTTCGGCGGCCGATAGAGTCCGAGAGTGGAAAGCCATCGGGCGAATTTCGCCATCGGAAGGTGAAATAATGGAAAGAATAGCTGCTATGGTGTAGTCAGAGGCGTCGGTCTCCAGAGTTAACTGGGCACCCGGAATCCAATGAGTCAGAATAGGAGCGGAAGTGAAAGCGAGGTTAAGCGTATCAAACGCTTCTTGGCACTCGGGTGACCACACCCAACGTTCGGATTTCCGAGTGAGCCGAGTAAGCAGCACCACGATGTCCGAATAATGGGCGATGAAGCACCAGTAAAAGTTGGCGAAGCCAAGGAATGATTGGACATCCTTGACTTTTCGGGGTTCCGGCCAATCCCGAATAACTTTGACCTTGGATTCATCCATCGAGAGACCATTCGGGGAAAGAATGTAACCCAGGAATTCCACCGTTTCAACGCTGAAAGCGCATTTTTTGAGCGAAGCGTAGAGACCGGCTTTCCGAAGACGCCGAAGCACTTCGCGTACATGCCGCCGGTGGTCTGCCAGGTTTTCCGAATAGATGAGGATGTTGTCCAGGTATACAACGACATTGACATCGAGGAGGTCAGAGAAAAGATCATTCATGAAGCACTGGAAAGCAACGGGAGCATTGGTAAGACCCTCGGGCATGACAAGCCACTCGAAGGAGCCATAGCGAGTTCGGAACGTGGTTTTCCACTCATCACCATCAGCAATCCGGACAAGGTGATAGGCGTGCTTTAGGTCAATTTTAGTGAAGACCTTCGCACTCCGACCGGCGTCCAGGAGGTCAGAAATGAGAGGAAGTGGATAACGGTCCTTCTGGGTGATACGATTAAGTGCCCGGAAATCCACGCAAAGCTGAAGTTCGCCCGATTTTTTCTTAACGAAAAGAATCGGAGCACCGTGAGGGGAAGTGGAATGTTGAATGAAGCCATTGTTGAGATTCTTGTCAAGGAAATCTCGGAGAGCCGCAAGCTCGAGCTGAGAAAGGGAGTAAATGGGGCCAGGCTGTGGTGATTGCCTGTCCTCAAGTTCGATCTTGAGATTGTATGGCCGATGTGGTGCTAACTTCTCTGACTCGGAAGCCGAAAAGACGTCAGCGTAGTCATGGTACTCTTCCAGAAGTCCGGATAAATCCAGAGCGGGTGAAGCGTCAGAGGACCTTCCTAACACCTTAGAGAGGCCTAGGCGGTAAAGTTGACTGCCCTTAGCGCGAAGTGCACTAGCAAAGGCAGCTGCTCCAATGAAGGAGATCGACGGGGGTTGAGCATTGACCGATGGAGCATCAGATGGCTCCACAGTAGGAGGAATGGTGTCAGCAGAAGCCGACGGAAGAGTTTCGGCCGGAGCCAAAGCTGGAATAGCAGAGCCAGGCGAGCAGAAAAAGATTTGGCCAGATGCCCAGTCAATCAACGGATTGTTTCGGGTCAGCCAATTGTATCCAAGCACTACAGAGCAAGCAGAATCCAGAGGTATGATGTAGAGTTCGACGGGAGTCGAGTCACCAGAAGGGAAAGAAACATTGATAAAGACTTTCTCGGAAATCAGAGTTCCCGGAGATCCGTCGAAGAGATGGAGACCGAGCGGAGGAATCGAAACACGAGTGAGATTATTGGTGGTACAGAGAACAGGGTCTATGAAACAGTCAGACGAACCAGAGTCCACAAGGGCCCGGAATTCCGACTGAATCTGCGGAGATCGTAAAATGGGGCATAAGGATTTTGGATCAGAAAGGGCAGAGGCATTAAGTCGTAAGAAGGATTCCGCGCGATCGAGACTATTTTCACGACCCTCGGGTCGCACGGATTTCCGAGAGTCGCTACTCAGTTTCCCGACTGTGCCGCGGGTGCTGGAGCTGGGGCGGGAGCCAAGACCGGCGCAGAAGCCGGAGCGGCTGCGGCAGCACGACCAGCTGCAGAACGCTGAAATGCTGAGTGTATGAACACTGGTGAAATCGGTCTAATACAATGGCTTTAATACACCACTATAAAATACCAATAACACCACTATGTCCGCTACAATCAGACTGCGGGTTCGGGGATTCCAACGCTAGATAATGTTGTTCGCGAATCTGAATCTATTACACAATAGAATAGCTAAGCCGAAGCTTTAACTAATGTTCTGCCAAGTCCGTTTAATGGTCTTCTAGCCGCTCAGATGAACCACTAAGGACAATTGGAATGTAGGTGGGTTTTAACAGGTGGTTGGGATTGCTCCCAGTGATCTGTGCGATCGAATTGGTTTGCCAAAGTCTATTTATATCTCTCCGAGCGGTGGTGTTTTAAGCCAGTGCGTAGAGCAATATATCCAAAAGTTCCATATAATTCAGATGTCCAGAAGCCATATATCCATATATCCAGAAGCCAGAAGTTCCATAAAATCTAATCCATACAATCACTGACAATTGTGATCTGGAACTGCCAACCGTGTGGGGCTATTAATACCCACCTAAGTCCGTTATCTCAGTCAACAAAGGTCTCTTATATGTTTCGAGCCAGATATATATTTAGATAGCCAACGGCCAATGATTTGGAGTAAGACCAAGCTATACAAGCAAGGCCGAGCGACTTAAATTGCAGTATTCTTAGAACAGAACAATTCAAATCAACCAATTCAATTCAACCCCAACAGACTAAGACTACTGTTCCCAGAAGCGGCAGCACTTAAGCTGACCACCTGAGGGGCAGGGTCCAGTGTCCTACTACTGCTAAACGAGCGGGTACTTATACAAACTGGCCGTCTAAATAAGGAAACACAGAATACAAACATTAATTAAAGAAAA